CATGGACCTCTGACCTTATTGTCATGTAAGACAAGTTTGAATATTACCAGCACTGGATGGTAAAACTGCGCAGTTGAGGGGCACGCGTTATTGTTCATGATTAAAATCAGGGAGCAAAACGACAGTAATAGTTATAGTTATGATTATGTTTCAACCACTAAGCATACTGATCTGTGATGATGATGGTCAGTATGTAGTTGATGGTAATGATGTACTAAAGCCCCAGGCTCCCTGTGAACTCCTCAGTTGCTCGACCTTCGCCTTTCTTCTTCATAACGCAAAGTTGCACATGCAGTGTAACAATATTGATTATGGAAAACTGCAACTATATATGTACAGGCAGAGGCATCAAAGGATTTTCACTGCATGCCGCTTTTCACTGTCGTCTACGGAAATGACCTATATTATGCAATTGCTGTTCAATTTCGGCGATGCGCAGCTTCCTTGACTTTTCCGCGTCTTTGTCTAACTGATATTCCAACGGTCAGTTGACTTTATGCGTTTCTTTTGAAGTTTTGTGAAACCGAGTGGCAGAATATCGTTGTTCCTTTCATCTCATTCCTTTGAACTTCCATTTGTTTGAATAACGGTCCGCTTTGAATCTTGAATTACAGGATGATGCTCGTAGTGATGACTGTGAAGACTGATTAACTCAACAATCTTTGACATTCTTGAGATAGAGACAAAGGTAAATATCTATCATTCGTGGCTACCTTAACCAATAATTTTAGACATATCATACTGTATACCATTCGGTTCTGCCTGGATCTGTCTTCCTCTGAAGATCTTTCCTTGCCTAAATTCACAGACTAGTCACAAACAAAGCTAACTCGTTTCCATCCTGGTGATTTTTGAATCGACAGACAGCGCCTACAGTTTCCTCAAGGAATATTTGTAAACAGTGGTCATTTCACTATGAGGTAAAAGGCGTTTTTTTAAGGTCCAGATCCAATTTCTGCACTTGGTTAGTTTCTCATTGAAATATAGTATGATATATATGGTTTGCTTTTAGCGAAAATGTGGCGAGAGTACCTCCAGTTCTGTTTGAAAGAAGTACCAGAAGTTGTAGCGACTGTGAGTACCTTTATTTTTGCTATGCAGGTGATGCTAATTATTTACTTTTTCAGTTTAGCAGTTCTGTTGTGCCTAATTTTGAAAGGTACCGATTATAAAGAGTAGTAATCATTACCATTAATCAAGAAGAACCAACAGAACTTAGAAAAGACTTCAACGCAGTTTTGAAAAGCTTGCTATGCTGCTGATCAAATTTGATTTTACGGGTTCGTTCAGAATCACTTGTAAAATATTCAGAGGCGTTTCTTGTTGGATATATAATCGGTGAAAATAGAAAAAAATTGTTTACAAACAGGATGTAAAATTTTTAATTTATATTGTGCCAAAGATTTTGTCCTTTCAGACTAGCAAAAATATAATTTGATAATTTTCTTTTCATTTCAGGATGAAAATAATCTATGGTTTTTATCGCATTGCTCTCTAAGCCTCAGCCTACATCAAGGTCATGTCGTGAAATTAAACATGCCTTCAGCAGTGCTGAGGCTTGTTAAAACTGTTTTAGTAATAATCTAGTAAAACCGTGAAACATATATACCGTTACTGCGCTGTATCGATCGCTTCTCGAGTTTCGGCCATCACTGAAATGCGTATGATATCGCGAATTCAGCTGGAGATGTTTGTTTGACAGCGTATGCACATCATTCACACTATTGATTATCAGGGAAACAATTGAAGGCAGGCGCATGCAGTGCATACGTACATACATGCTACATATATTACATTTGAGATATATTATGCAGTTTGAAGATACGTCGACATCTTGAGACTAACAAATAAAGAAATGGTCACAAAGCGTGGAAAGTAGAACTTTCTTAATCCAAAGCGTTTTTCCTTCTTCAGCACAAATTAATAATCATTCTGCACAGTTTACATGGGTTTAATTTAAGAAGAGATGTAGAACTTTTCAAAGGTTAAGAACTTCGTAGATTCTTACGTTAAGAGGCGTAATTTAGCCATCCCTGAATGTTAAATGTTTTTCTAAACTTATTTTCAACGTCCTGCATTGGGAGCCGATTTAGAAGACCAAGAATTCATGGCATTGTAGTACCTGCAGTACGTAGGTGCAATTGGCATGACGCTGTTGCCTGCAGCAATGTGTTGCTCGATAATACTGATGCTTCAGCATCAGTTACTCTTTGATTCTTAAGTAGTAGCATTTGAAGCATGTCGCCTTAGACTTTCGCTTACATTTCTGAAACTCCGTTTGTGGTATTGTTGAATTTTCAGACCTCTTTCCCTTGTTTAGAAAAGATGCCTGGAAGTGTTTGAACGTGCGGCTCAGGTTAATGCTTTGGATGCTGCGCAATATATCCTTTGGGTAAGGTGTTTCTTTTAAGCAGTATTACGGTAACTGTACCTTAATTTAGGCATCAATCTGTTCAGACAATTGCAGCGCTAATGCCGTTCTCAAACAAGCGATCGACAAATACCCACATTCATGTGAGATTTGGACTCGTTACTTGAGCGGTTTGATCTCGTCGGATTGTCCTGAAGACGATGTGATGACAGGCTTTAAAACAGCATTCGCCAAAGTACCTAAACACGTAAGTGATATTTGCACAATTATTAATTAAAAGGAAGGAAAGTATTTAATCATTAGGCTGTAGATCTTCCTTACACTCCCTTTTTCACTGCTTCAGTTCAACTTTTTTTTCTTGATAATGACAGTCATTCTTTTGCCAAAATAATAGTTGTGAAAGAACGTTTTGAATCAGCTTTTATCTTTCATATCCGAGCAGTTGAATTTTAGCGACTGAACGTTTAACGCTTTTAGTAACTGTGATTTTATTATTTAATTACTGTTAAATTGAAGCTTTAAGTTTGTTTTCAAAGTTTCGGCTAAAATTTAAAATCCAGAGTTTTTTTAGGAACAGTTGGCCCTTTGGCACTCCGCTATTGAATGGCATCTACTCAACCGGCCAACACATGTCGATCGACTTATAAAAGTATCAGCAGGATGTGTCGTTTTTTTCTTATTCTGCATTTTTAGTCTGGTATTTTGTACGAATGCCCCGTTTCAACGTTTGTCAGGTGTTTCTATCTGGAATGGATTTTTATAACGCGCGGAATGCAAAAATTGCGCCAAGTATATCAAAGGTGCATCACTGCGTTCAATATTTGATTGAAACGCATATTTAATTTCGTTTCAGGTTGGCATCTATGAAACCAAATGCCCTGGAATTTTACATGAAATATCTTGATCTTTTGGAGTCACAGGTACTCATGAAGATTATATTTGTGAATATTTAAATGATTTAATTTAGTTTTTTTATATCTTTGAAGGTAAAAAAGAAAGATCTGAAATTTGTAAGTTTGGCGAATATATATACTCTATAATTGAGCTCTCGACCCCTGCTGCCGATTAAATTGTCTGTCGGCGACTCGGTGACAGTTCATTCTACCTAAATAGTGCTCATGAGCTTTACTTCGATTTGAAATTGTTCCAAAGCT